AGTGTGGGCTAGCATGTCAGTTTGGAACAGCTGGGGTCCCCGCATACAAGCAGTGTTTGTACCCACCTGCAAGTTAATCTCTGTGGAACTACACCAACTGTTAACAAGAAAGGTCTGGCACTAAGCAGAACAAAGTCAGCCCCTGTCAGTGGCAGATTTGACCTCACCATGGGCCTGGTGTGGCACCGTGGGTTAGTGCGCCAGACTGAAAAGCTGTTTGAACTACAAGGTCAGTGGTTCAAGCTCACTAGCTGCTTTTCGGAAACCCTATACAGGGTCACTATGGATCGGAACTGACTTGATAGCACTATACAACACCAACATGGGCCTGCCTATCAGGAGTACTGGTGTGATGTTGTGGGCTACTGTGCTGGACTGCAAAGTCAGTTTGAATCACAGATTGTTGGTTCAAGCTCACCAGTCGCTCCTTGGAAACTCTATACAGGGTCGCTATGAGTTGGAACCAACTCAAAGACACTTAACAACAACACATGGGCCTATCAACAAGCTCTACTCTGGAGAAAGACAGGAGTATGGAGAGAATTCCATCCACCTCTGTGAGGCTAACACCCAAGGACAGCTGAAAACAGAAGAGGAAATAGAAACACTTGAGGAAAAAAACTGTGCTAATCCAGTCCCCACTGAGCACAGGCAAAAGCAGTCCACCACTTCAAATTCTAGTGAAGTGCTGATGGTAATGACAGCAATAAGAACCAGCTCAAGTCTTGACTAAATTAGCTCAATTCTCCACTCTAAAGCTAGACAGAAGAAGTGGTGGGCCTATACCTGGTCAAAAATACTATTTACTTAAATCTATGATGCTCTTCTACACTCAAATTTTAGCATTTAATAAAAAAGTATAAGACACACAAACAGGCAATACAAAATAACCCAGTGTCAAAAGATAAAGCAATCAACAGAATCAGACTTAGTATGAACCCAATGTTGGAACTATGAGATAGAAATTTTAAAATAACTATGTTAAGGTTATTTTAAATAACTTGTTTAATGTTTAACATAATAATATGTTAAAGAATAAACATTTCCAGGATAAATGGAAATGCTAGAAATAAAAGTGATATTTTTATAATGAGCTAATCAGTATATAAACACAACTGAAGAAAGACTAAGTGATTTTAAAGATGGGTCAGCATAAATTATCCAACGAAATACAAATAGATTTTTTAAAAAGAGTGCTAAAAGCAGAACAAAGGGGGAGTTAATAGATGTTACTGACTTTGCAATCGTTCATTAACCATCGTAGGTTTTATTGCCTGTTAAAATTTTCAGAAGCGAGGCAATCATTGCGGTGCCAGGCCCTTAAATGTGCCACGTGTCTTTGCTCTCATGTCAAGAATCACTGCACTAATAGGAATTGTTACCTTTTTTGCCCTGCCCACCATGTAAATCAACTGTCTAGGGATATTAGTCTCGCTCATATGATCCAAGAGTAAAGATAAAAGCTTACAAAACAGACTAAATGCTTTAGAGAAAGGAAGATCGCTCAAGGGAAATAAGATTCAATATATCCAGTTTACACTCCCAGCTAAGGTTGTTCATGATATAAGTAGATTTGTGTTATTTTTCAGTAATCCAGAACTTGATTGGAACTTAATTCAACAGCATTTTAGGAGGTTGTGGAATAATATCCACTTGTCTGTGGATATCCATGAGCTATTGCTCAAATTTCTGATATAAGTAATACTCAAGTTGAGCACTGAGTGGCTACTAATTTGCTACCCCTGCTAGAGATTAAGATCCCCTAAGAACTTGATTGAACCTCAGCATAGTGATCCTGCTTGGTCACCTTAGAGCAGGTGGTGGTCTGGCAACATCTTGCGTATGGGGTCCCCAGCCGGTCTCCTCCCTCCCTGCCTTCTTCGGATGGCGGCTGCTTATGCTGGACGTGTGGCCAGAGACAGGTAAGGATCACGTGGAACCTCGGCAACCTAAGATAGAGCCATTGCCATGCTGCAATGAGTTTCGATGACAGGTAAGACTGAGGAATTCACACTGACTGCCTAAGACAGGCAGCGTCCCTTAAACAAATAATAAATAAGGGGGAATCTGATGCAGACCGTGCAGACCCAGTCAGGAGTTCAAGTCCCTGTGGGCCCAAGCGTTGCAGACCGTCCAAACCATAGGCTCTGAGGATCAGACTTTAGCCAGCAGACATAGCAAACTGTCCCTCATCTGATTATTCAGTTATGCTTGTTAGTAATTGCATACATGAGCCCTGGATATCCACAGATAAATGTAAAAACCTTCCCTAAAAGCCGAGACTGTAAATTCCAAAAAGGCAAATTTTCCCACACACACACACACAAAAAAAAGCTAAAGAGGATAGAGAGAAACAGTGTTAACTGATGATGTATGGAGGGGATTATGATCAATGTAATGAAACAAGTCATATGAATGGTTGAATGTGAAACTGATGATGTGCCCTGTAAACTTTCACTCAATCCACAATAAAAACCTTAAAAAAAAAAAAAGTAGAACAAAGTGTTCAGAGCTATGGAATTGTGGGACAATATTAAACAGTCTGACATAATGTAGAATCTCTGGAGGAAAATACAAGTGAGAATGGGGCAGAAGAAATACTTGAAATGTCAATGGTACAGAATTTCCCCAAAATAATGAAAGACATCACCCCAGATCTAAGAATCTTAAAGAATCCTAAGTAGGATAAATGTTGCTGTTGTTAAATGCCACTGAGTCGATTCTGACTCTTAGTGACCTTGTATAAGATTTCCGAGGCTATAAATCTTTGCAGGAGCAGAAAGTCTCATCTTTCTCCTGGGAGCATTGGTGGCTCGTACCACTAGCTATGTGGTTCACAGTCCAGTGCTTTTCCTTACAGCCTCCGTACTCCCCAAGTAGGATAAATGGGAGACGTTGAAAAGAAGGAAAAATCCTACATACATATCATAGCATAAGTAATGAAAACAGAAACAGAAAAAATCTTTAAAGTGCCCAAGAAAAACAAAACATCACATACAAAGGAACAAAGATAAAGATTATAATAAATTTCTCAGTACAAAGCAATTTTTAAAAGACTATGCACAAACCCCCTTCCAAGACTAAGACTCAATGGGAATACACGCTGTGATTGGTGACCATGCTCGACACCGATAAGGGGAAGTGAGGGAAAAACAGCAATGAAGCGGTGAGCTAAGCCCTACAACGTTCAATAGACTTCTGTGAACCGGGGGAAGACCTGGCTGGCCAGCACTGTGGCAAGACTCTTGGGCCCAGAGTCAGTGAGATAGCCACAGAGGACTAGAGTGAAGAGTGAAGCATCCAGCTGATAAGAAGAGAGGGCATATGCATAAGAACACCCACACTTGCAGATAATACCCA